ATACAATTGTACAATAATAATAATAATAATAATATAAACAAAAACAAATAAACAACCATGCTAAAACCATTATTACATTGTTCAAACATGAAGTATAAATCCATCTGCTGGTCAATATGAGTAATATATCCCATTTAATATAATCATTGGAAAGGCTCATTACTATCACCTGACACGAAAGGATGGTGGCACTGCCATGTCTAGGACAGCCTTACCTTTTCTAAAGACCAGAAGGGTAGGAGGCCAATCTATTCAATCTATATCCCAGTATATACTGTCTATCAGGCCTGTGAATTCACATCCCAGTAAAGGTTTGAACACATATAGAAGATCGAATATATGGAGTACGTAACATAATAGCCAGTTTGTTATAGTGGCTAGGGATCAGACTAGAAACTGGGAGACTGAGATTTCTAGTCTTGCCTTAGGTATGAGGCCAGCTAGGTAACCCTGGGCCTGTCACTTTCTCTCAGCTCTAAGAAGGAGGCAATAGCAAACCAATTCTGAAAAACTTTGCCAAGACAACTGCAGGGACCTGTCTGGGAAGTCTCTAAGAACTGGACGCTATGAAACGTAAGGGAGGGGGCTATATGAAAGCTATCTATGCCTGGTAAGTCCCATATAAGAGTGAAACTAATCAAATAACGTCTGCTAATATAGCAATTTATAAAGCACTTTATGCTATTTGTCAAAAATGAAACCAGACTCTGCCAATAGTCAAATAGCCTAAATGGCTTGGGCCCCTGTTTAGCTATACAAGATGTTGTATCTATGCATCTCATGGCCATTCTCACACTTGACTTCCCCTCACTTTGACAGGCGGGGGGACCATTGTAGTTGCTCAACAGCCTCCTCTACTGATACTGAGGCCTGCACATATCCTGGACATAAAGAACCCTGTTCTGGCAAAGGTGAATGCCTTTGTGGGGTCTGTCAATGCTATTCTGAAGAAGATCTCACCCAGCGTTATGAAGGACAGTATTGTGAATTCGACAACTTGCAGTGTTCCCGCACTTCCGGATTCCTCTGCAATGGTAAATCTTTGGAGAGGGTAAATTATTGCTTACTCTGCCCTTAGTTCATTGAGAGACAGCCTTGTTAACTACTACCTGACAATTCATGGAGAGGTCAGCAATACTGGAGTAGCTTTTGCCAACTTGCGGGTTTCTGGTGGTAGCCCTTGACCCTTGAAGAAGGTTGATTTTGAGGGCATGTCCAATTGTTGATGAAGGTTTAGAACAGGGGTGGGCTCCAGCTTCTTTTATTGCCGGTTTGCTCAGGGACACGCTTTGGGCGCATGTGCACTTGATGCATGCTATGCGCGCATGTGCAGAGTAAAAATAAATTGCTTCTGCTCATGCGCAGAAGCAAAAAACAAGATGGCAGCGCAATAACTGGTTCAGGTGCGTGTCTGGCTGAGTTATTACCTACTCGGTCGAACCAGTCTGAATCGGTAGGAACCGACCTATGGTTAAGAACAGCTTTCCCAGATGATGCATCCCAGTGATAAAGTTTAGAATATCTAGAGATATTCTGGATATCTCTAGAATAGTGGCAGTAAACTTTTTCTTCTGGGTCAGACCATGTGTATTTATGGAGTGTGCAGCTGACTGAAAATATTAACAAGAGGAAACCCCAGAATTCTAATAGAGATTGCAAGAATGCGAGTTGTGCAATCACTTTAGAATGCCCCCTGGGCTGGCTAGTCTTTTTCATTCAACTCATCCTATCTCACAATTTAGGAATGATTAATTGGTTATGTGCATTGACAACTCTCAGTGATCACTTATATAGATCTTTCCAATTTGGGTAAGGAATAACTATGCGTATTGCTTTGAGCTCCTTAGAAGAAAAGTGAGATACAATTATGGCAAATAGACAATTGGTCCCAGTTGTGTTCTTGTTCAAACTGAAATCCTAGTTGTGTATAGAAAGGTTTTGAATGTTCATATGTTTTTTTAGGGATTTTAGAATACATCAGACACATGCACAAACGCTAACACAGAGGGGGGGGGAAGATGTTCTATTCAAGCATTCCCTTTGTTCTAACCTGTCACCTTTGCTTAGCTTAGCTATAGAGATGTTGTGGTCCGCCGGTGGCCTGTGGAGCTGGCAGCAGAGTCAAACAGCCAGGAGGTTGGGGAGGAACATGGGCCAGTCCTGGAGTCTGGGAAGGCTCAGACGAGGGCTCTGTGTTGGAGGCAGAGAAGGGACTAGGGCCTTCTGGGAGTTATGTGCTGCCTCTGGAGCCTCCAGAGTGATGCAGAGGAACAGTGTACAGTGTTCCCAGTGTATGCATGGGCAGAGCTGCCAGAAGGCAAGAGCAGTTAAGACAGAAGGGAGTAAGGCTTGGAGGTGATTGGCCCCTCCCATAGAACATAAAGGAGGAGCAAAGACACATGAGCCTTTGCAGGAAACAACTTGGTTCATGCTGGTCAGTTTACCTTCTGAAGCTTCATTTTGACTCTGCTTCATGTGGCCTTGCCAAGCTAATTACCAATTAAGTCTTTGGCAGTGTTTCAAAGAAGATAAAGGTGGGTGCTTATCAGTCTTATCCCAAAGGACTTTGGCAGCCTACTGTAGGACTCTTTCAAACTATTTGGGACTCGTTACGGCTGTGAATGAACGTAATTCAAGTCTTTGAAATAAAAAGAGGGTTTTTGAAACTAAGCGTGTGCTTTTTACTGTATCAGGAAGCCTAGGTCCGAACAAGAGATATGTATCATATTCCTTTGTGAACTGCCCCTGCACTGCTAATAGACTTCAATAAAAATATAAACATAAAAACAGACCTGCTATGTAGGTAAGTTGGCTCTAAATGTTTTTGTGCTGATGCTACCTGTCTCTACAGACCGGGGACGTTGCTACATGGGCCAGTGTGTATGTGCACCTGGTTGGGAAGGCTCCGGCTGTGAGTGTCCCACAAGCAACGAAACCTGTGTCAGCAGCAATGGGGTAAGTAAATTGCCCATCCAGAAGAGCTATCATGAAGAGGTCATGAAGAGAAAATAAAAGTGGCCTAATGGTTATTCCCCACATACACACACACACAATCCAGTATTGGATGCAGCAAGTGTTTAATATGATAGTTCATGTGAAAATCTGCCAACATATAGTTATTACAAATTGGGTAAATTAGAGATGAAATCCAGTATTGTCAATTCAGTTTAAGAGGAATTATTGATCTCATTAGATCTCTAGTGAGGTATTGGCTGCTTGACAGTTGATCTTACTGCTGTTTATATAATCTGTGATCCTTAAATAAAAGCAGACAGAGAGAAGAAAGGTCTTACCTTCTCTTTTAAATGTTCCCTGGTAATGAAAAAAGATCTGTCTCAAACATCAGGTATAGCCTTCTGTTACCTCAATGTATGCAGTGAAGAAAAAACTGAACAGTTACTTTGCTCTCTTGTAGCTGATTTGTAACGGACAGGGGAGGTGTGAATGTGGTAGATGCCTCTGTAATTACCCTACTGCCCATGCTGATCCCACCTGTGAATTTGGATCCTTGGTAAGTGCATGAAAGTGCATATTTGTTAAGCAAATGACTATGACTATTAATACTGTTGCTATATTGCAGTAGGAAAAAATGGTACAAGTATATGTTGTTTGTGTTCCTTTTTCTGAACCTCCTTGCCTTTTCATAATGCATTTTTGTTATAGGCAGCATCCATAGGCAAATATTAATCTGTACAAATATACCACAAAAGCTCTTTTTCATCTGTCAATATTATTCCTGGATTCAGGAATAACTGTTCCTATCCTTTCTCACAATAATCAATTCATCAAACAATCAATCATTACAATAACATTTAAAGAATATCTACAGAAGCGGCAAAGCAGATACACGTGTTTTGCTAGAATAAATTATGCAGTTTATTCAGTGGCGGATTAAGGCTCACTGGTGCCCTAAGCACTGATAAATCTTTGTGCCCCCTCCTTTGTGCATACTGCACAAATCTTCATTTTTTTGTTTATTTCTCAACTTTGTGGTGCCCCCTTTGGGCCTGATACCGTAAGCATGTGCTTAGTCTGCTTAATGGATAATTCACCACTGAGCTTATTTTTGAGTGGTGAGAAACTAGGGTTGCCGGTACTTACTGGAGGTTCAGTTGTTTTTGAAGGAGGCACTTCAGTGTTACAAAGTGTATTTTAATAAATATAAGAATAGAAGTTCATATTATTAATTCCCCTGAAAAAAGTTCCCTGTTAGATTGCTTGGGGAATCTCTCTTTTTTTTCCAGAAGGCTTTATCTCCTATCTTCCAGTTCCCAATCATAATGGCATTTTTTCCCCTATGGGAGATTTCCTCACTCACCCCTTCTTCTCCACTGCCTTCATTCCCAAAACTGCATCTCACAGGGTAGAGTGTTAAGTACATGGGGCATGTATTGTCCTTTCTGATCAGTGGTGGTTGCTAACCGGTTTACTACTGTTTCACTTGTGCTTATGCCTGCATGCGCAGAAGCGTCCAGGCAAGTGGGCGGAGCCTCCCGCCACCGCCACTACTGGTTCAGCCAAATTGGGAGCAACCCATCTCTGTTCTGATGCTTTCTATGTGATATCCATGGAATGCTTTTAATGCTGTAAGTCGCCCAGAGATGCTTCAAAACAAGATGGGCAGCAAATAAATTTAATAAATTTACATACATATCCATCTCTCAACTCCTCACTATCTTTTGTGCTCAGCACTAATCTAGAACTGAAGATTTTGCCTGCCTTCTCATGCTCTTTCCCTTGTGTCTAGGCTTTCCAGCAAGCATGTGAGGAAGAATTCCGAAGTTGTGTCCAGTGTCAGGTTTGGGGCACTGGAGAGAAGAAGGCACAGAAATGTTCAAACTGCAATTTCAAGATTGAGCTGGTCGATGAATTAAATCAAGGTAGTGTAATTCTTCAACTGCCCAGTTTAATATTCAAATGCAAACCAAACTGTTGTGGCCTGCCAGCGGCCTGTGGAGCTGGCAGTAGATTTAGGCAGTGAGGAGGTTGGGGAGGAACATGGGCCAGTCTTGGAGTCTGGGGAAGGCTCTGATGAGGGCTCTGTGTCGGAGAGGGGGGCAGAGTCGTATGCCAGTTATTAGCTGCCTTCAGAGTCAGACATCAGTGAGGCAGAAGAACAGCTGGAGCCTGTTCCCAGTGTGCGCATGCGCAGAGTTGCCAGACAAAGGGAACAGCTAAAGAACAGGGGTCAACTTTGGAGTAAGGTCACAGGTGGACGATGAATGGCCCCTCCCAGAGGAAATAAAAGAGGAACTAAAGGGGAGTGGAGTTTGCAGGAGACAATTAGTTTTCTTAATTGGTTTGTGACTCTCCGAGACTCCTTGCCAGGTTTTGCAGATATCGGTCTGGCAGCTCTCCAAGCCAGTTACGGTCTGTGACTATAAATCCTTCCTTGAAAGACTTTGCTGGATGTGAATGAGCACAATCCACAATAAATTAATAAAAGGGATTTTTGTCAAGATGAGGAGTTTGCTTCATGTGCTGTAAAATGCTATTGATGGAGGGAAAGGGAGAAAAATATAAGCCAGACCTGGGCGTTTTATGATCCCCAGGCCTCAAATGGGAAAAAAAGAATTTCTCCCTTTTCTCCATTGGCAACAGTAGAATTTTGATCCCGGCAATTTCCAACATAAATTGTCAATATTACATCTGATGGATTTTCTTTTTTACCCTGCAGGTAAAAAGTGTACCTTCCAAGATGAGGAGGATGATTGCGTTTACCACTACGCTAGGAAAGAAGACACCAATCTATCACAGAACAACACTGTTCTTGTGCAAAAGAAGAAAGGTAAATAATTTTCTATGAAGAGAGTGGGATCTCAAGAAGTAGCAGATGGGATAAATTAGAAGGTCTGTTATTTAGATTTCACTAAGCACTCTCAACTAGTTTTGCATTTGTTTTTGTAACTCTGTTGGTCACTGTTTTCTTGTTCACACTCATGGAGCTGCATCATGGTAGATCAGGCTGTACTAGTAGTCTTCTGAATTATTTGCAATTGATTGGCAAAGATGCCTAACTATATTTTTTTTAGCAAGTGCAACAATAAATGACTTTTAAAAAATTTGGTTGATGAAACAAGGAAAGCTTGAACTGACCACAAGTGGACTTTATATGACAAAGGCTGATCTTGGAAACAAACCACTTGATTTAAAGGGTATTTGGAGATATGCTTTCTTTCACCCCAAATTCGTTTCTGCAGTCAAGAGTGGCTGTCAGTGAAGATCCTCAGTCATCCATGTAGAGTTATCTGACAGCTGAGTGATGGCAACTGGACTTATTTTCTTGTTAGTTTGAGAGATTTCACTGCCCATACAAGCAGCTTCTCCAGTCTGAGCAAAGTTGGTTAGGGTGAGAAGGCAGAGAGTCATTGGAATGTACCAACTAGGTTAAAGTGCAAGTGATTCCTGTAGTCTGCCACTTTTCTTACTGTCTTTTCGATTCCTTCACCAACCTTGGATGGGCAGAGAAACATCTCAAAACAGCAAGAAAATAAGTGCAGTTGCCCTGACTCAACTTCCAGTGGCTCCTGAAATTTTAAAGTAAATAGTCCACTCAATTAATCTAAACTCTGCTGCTCTAAATTAATCCCTCTAGAAGTTTTAGACGCCAATACTCATTGTCTGTACACAGCATCACTATGCACTCTCTTGAAGGTGAGGTTGTAGTCCAGCTCTTTTGGAGTTGAAAACTGGGCTCTAGAAGTCTGATCTTTGTGAACTGGCAGGAATTCTCAAAGTTTTCAGTTGGCTACCTCTATCTGGAGATGCTGGTGCAGAATTTTTTACATGAAATTCATGTGTTCTGCCATTGAGTTACAGCATTTGTTGCAATACTTTCCTCTTCTCTTTCCTAACCAGGAAAATAAAAGATAACATTGCTTCCTTTGATTTTTATTATTATTTGTTGTCATTATATGTAGAGTGTCCACCAGGAAGTTTTCTTTGGCTTATCCCCCTCCTCATTTTTCTGATACTACTCCTGGGGTTGCTGCTGCTTCTATGCTGGAAATACTGTGCTTGTTGCAAGGTAAAATCCCTACCTGCAGTAACAAAGGAAAACTGGGCAGGGTAGGGAGGGAGGCTTTGGTGGCATGTTTTGAATCTAACCTGTGACTGAGTCATTTTTAAACGTAAAAATTAGAGGTCAATGTAATACATTTTCTGTCTTGTTCATATAAGCTTCTAGTTGAAGCTGTTTTTATATTGACTAAACGATAACAAGTATTTTTGTTCTAGATCTAACTTTCTTCAACTTCAGGAGAATCATTATTTTAAAAGATTACTTTTCTCCAATATATCTGAGATATTTTGTTTTATCCTAAAATGAACTGTGTACAGGAATTCGGAATGGAATATATTGGAAGGCATTGGGGTTTGGAGTTGGAGTAGACACTTGTCCAGTGGTAAAGATCAAGAAACAATGGCATTGCAACATTAATGGCAAGGAGCAAATGAAACGGAATGGAGAAAGAGAGCCAGTGATCCTTTACCACTAGTCATATCAAAAAGCGCCTAAGAAATAAGCATGTAGAAAAGGCATTACTTGTACGATGCATTGCTATAATCAGTTACATCATTGATCCAAAGGGGTCAAGGTCATATTAAGCTTATGTATTAGTTCAGTCCCTATACCATGTAAACCAGGTTAATATGCTTCTCTCGTTGCCTTTCATGGATGCCCTTAAATGGTGTTTGCTCTGGCATCCTCATTAACAATGTATTTTGTATCATCCACTTAAACAAGGGCAACAGGCAGAGAGGTCTATTCTCCTGCCAGTAAGCTTAGTTTTGCATTTTTGTATTAAAATCAATTCAACACTTTTTCTTTTCTTTTTTGACATCTAGCATTGTTTGGCGTTGCTACCCTGTTGTGCACGAGGTACATCTTTTGAATTTATATGTGGTTTCTGGTACAGGTGATAATAGCATTAGAATGGTGTGCTTAGATCCAGACCCAAAGAAAGCAATAAAGGCAGTCCCTGACTTACAACCATTCACTTAGCAACCATTCAAAATTACAACAGCACTGAACAGAGTGACTTACAGCCAGTATTCACACTTACAACCCTTGTAGCACCCCATGATCATGTCATCAAAATTTAGGCACCTGTCAATCGGCATCTACCATATTTATATGAAGTCAGGGTTTGCAATCTTCCCAGCCCACTTCTGACAAACAAAGTCAATGGGGGATAGTGGATTCACTTAATGATCATATGATTCACTGAACAACTGCAGTGATTCACTTAATAACCATGGCCAAAAGGGTCGTAAGATTGGGCTCATCTCAGTTAACAACCACCTTGCTTAGCAATGGAAATTCTGGTCCTAACTGTGATTGTAAGTTGAGAACTACCTATATTACATTCAAAGAAGGCTAGTATGTTGTTGTTGGGGGGTGGGGACCTAGCAGTTGAAGCTTAATACAAATTGCCTGTCACTTAAATCAGCTCAGTAATTATCTGTCTAAATTCTATCAATTGGTATCCAGTTAGGCTGGTTAACAGTAACAGAGTTGGAAGGGACCTTGGAGGTCATTTAGTCCAACCCCCTGCTCAGGCAGGAGACCTGTACTAGGGATTCGAACCACCAAACTGCCAACCTTTCTGATTGACAAGTTCAGCATCTTAGCCACTGAGCCACCTAGCCAGGAAGAAGATAGGACTTTTCAAGCACTGTTCTTTTCATTTTGGGGAGAACCTTGATCAAAACCTATGCATTTAACTCTCTGAGCAGTAGAGAGAAAATAATTCCTTACAGAGTATTTAGAGAATGTAAGGAAACATAAAACTTCACGTCTTTGAATTGAAATGCATTTTAGAATAGTATAATGATTCTGGAATATACACTATGAACCCATGCTGAAATACAGTATATGAGGTATCTTTAGATGTATGTCATAACAATCATGAGGGACAGAATTAGGAATTCAAGTCATGCCAATCTAAAAATTAACAATAATACAACTTATTGCCAACAATCTAATCAGCAGTTACTAAGTAGAAATAGGGAAAAGGGAATGGGAAACTCATGCTACAATGTAAGTAAGGTGCTTCTCCTTTGACAAAAGTATTTTATTTATTCTATTTAACACATAAAAAAGATCTAAAGTTAGATCCACGGTGCTGAAGTACAAATGCCAACTTCCTTTCCCTCTCTGAAGGTCGCATGGTTGGTTTCAAGGAGGACCACTACCTGCTCAGGCAGAGTCTCATGACATCAGACCACCTGGACACTCCAATGGTGCGCAGTGGTAATTTGAAAGGGAGAGACACAATCCACTGGAAGATCAAAAACAATGTGCATAAGCAAGACTACTCATCCTTCGCCCTCAATCCCAAGGATATCAGTAAGTGCTTGTTTTACAAGGTGGAAAAGAAGGGCCAGATGGAGCATAGCTTATTTCTGAGGTTAATGGTGACCATAGTGAAGGGGTGTCAAACTCAAGGCCCACGGGCCGGATCCAGCCCACAGAGTGCTTAGATCTGGCCCACGGGGCCATCCTGGAAACAGCGAAGAACTGGCCCACGGTTCCTTCACCAGTGAAAACGGGCTCCCAATCTCCATTTTCAGCTGGGACGGTCTCCTGCAACCCTCTGACAGTGAAAACAGAGCTCAAAGATTTTCAAAGATAATGGCAGCTTGTAAGCTACCTTTTTCAGTAGAACTGCCTGAATAGAAAAGGATTTAACATAAGGCTGATTCCAAAAAGACCTCAAACTTGTTTTTGAGATTCCGTTAAATTTTCAGAGAACTCTCATGACCATTAGTACAATTGCCTTTTTAAAGATGTAACTGCACCACAAGCCTATATGTTTTGTGTAAGTTTAATTTTTGGGATGTCTCTGGAATTTCTGATCTGAAGACACTGATAGAAGGTGTATCTGTATCTGAAATTCCTGTCATTCCTCTTACCTACAGTTATACTCGGAAGCAGAGAAGGAATCACTGTGTAACTGATGTAAGGATGTAGGTTCTAATTTTTGAAGTCCAGCAAAATTCTATGTCAAAATTATAGGTGACTCGGAATTCTAATCACTGTTTACATGGTATGTGTAAAATAAGCTCTGTAGTTGAACCATATCGTTATTTCCCATTACATCTCTGTATTAATTGGTTGTGCTCCTTGTTTGACTGGCAGCTGCAAATTCTGATGAATTTATTTTCTTATTTCCAGTTCCATATGGGCTCTCTCTCAGATTGGCACGGCTCTACACCCAAAACCTTGGAAAACTGGATAGCCGTGAACATGAGCAACTGCAGAAAGACGTGGAGGAAAATGTAAGAAGTAGGGATATTTGTTCTATTTTTAATTCTCCCTTGTTACAGGAAGCGTGTGTGTATATCTGTGTGAGTTGCTCCTCCTTTTTATCCCCACCATAGTTCTGGCAGATGAATAGATAGATTTTGATAGACCTTAGTCCATATAGAACATGACAACTAATCAGGTCAAATATGAACCCAAAAATCCTCCCCAAACCAGAGGTGGTATTCAGCAGGTTCTGACCAGACCTGGAGACCCAGTGGCGGAAATTTTGAGTAGTTTGGAGAACTGTTAAATACCACCTCTGACTGGCCCTGCCCCCATCTATTCTCTGCCTCCCGAGTCCCAGCTGAACAGGACAGAATGGGGATTTTTCAGTAACCTTCCCCTGGAGTGGGGAGGGAATGGAGATTTTACAGAATCTTTCCCCTGCCATGCCCACCAAGCCACGCCACATCCACAAAGCCACACCACGCCCACAAGGCCATACCCACAGAACCGGTAGTAAAAAGTTTGAATCCCACCACTGCCCCAACACTCTGTAATTTGATTTGTTGCTAGGGAGGCACAGATATTGAACCCAGTACAAGATTTCTTTCTCTGGATTTGAGTGTTAATACAACTTCTGTTGTGGATGTGATGTCTGGATATAAATCAAATGAATAGCAGAAGATGAAGGGCTTAAAGCTTTTAATATTAATATTTGACTGAGCACCTGAGCAGCTGGGGCAGTCCTTATGTACCAGCTTGATGTACAGTATATTGGGTCCAGTGGTGGGTTGCAGGTCGTATGCTCTGGTACAGGCGTACCGGTGCCTGCCGGGAGCACCATGTACCATTCCGTATGGTGCGCTGGGGGCACAGCCACCCGCCCAAACTCCTTATCTGTATTTAAACTCTTCGGCGCTTCCGTGCATGCGCACTGAGTGTATGGCACCTACACAATGCTCCACTGAGCAGCTGGAGCATTGAGGAGGTAAGGACAAATGTATGCATATGTGCACATGTGCACACGTGCTGCGCATGTGCACATGTGCTGTGCATGTGCATGTCGGGGATGCCGGGCCCCATTGCACTGTACTGGTTGCAACGGGATCCGGAACCCACCACTGATTGAGTCAGTTATGGATCATGGTGTCTCACATGGTCAGGACGCTGGGTTGGAAGTTAGCAAGCTGGTGTTCAAGACCCGAGTGCTGCTGTGTGGTGGGGTGAGCTCCCGTCATTTACTCAAGCTCTTTGATGGGGACATCAAAGGAGCCCTCACTGACATTCCCAGGCAACAGTGCTGTCACTGGCTAAACCTAATCCTTAAATGGTGCCTCTCACATGAATGGGATGGGGGAGGGATTAGGGATTGGGCTAGTTCTCTTGAGGAGCTGGACTAATGACCTTCTCTTGTTCTTCCTAGCTGAATGAAGTGTACAGAGTAATCCCAGGTTTCCAAAAGTTCCAGCAGACAAAATTCAGGTGAGAGCATAACTGGCGTGGGAAAAAAGAATGAAACATCAATCAATATATTTTTTTAAACAGGAAAGTAGATGATGATAGGTGAGAAACAAGGAACTGGTGTAATGAGAGAATATCTTTTTGGCTGAGAAGACTGTCTAATTTCCTAGAATGTGAAGGTACTAGAATTTGAACGCCCCTCTGATCAGCTTTTCGATGTTACAACAATAACTGTATAAAGCAGCGATGACGAACCTTTTTTGGCTCACGTGCCATAAGGGGGGGAGTGCAGGGGGGGTCATGTGCGGATGTGCCACATCCATAATGCAACACGTGACACCCCCCCCCCCCCCAGTGTGCATGTGGCATGGGAGGCGCTCCCCCCATTTTTTGCATGCTTTTTTCGCCCTCCCCAGGCTCCAGAGGCTTTATAGGAGCCTGGCAAGGACGAAAAAAGCCTCCCCACCCCCACCCCTGTAGGCTTCAGGGACCTTCAGGAGGCTCCGAAGGGCAAAAAGTGACCCTATGAGTTTGCTCGTAGGGTCGTTTTTAGTCCTCCGGAGGCTTCAGGGAAGCCTCCTGAAGGTCCCTGAAGCCTACAGGGGTGGGGGTGGGGAGGCTT